ATAAAAATTTACTAATAAAGTATAATAATATAAATTTAACTAATAAAATATCTACTAATAAAATTGATTATATTACAGTATGGTATACACCATACTATATACATATTTGAAGAGTACAACTAGCCACATATACAACTTTTGGTTGCCTATTTAAGTAGTCACCTATTACTAAGTCCTACACTAGCTGCCATACCTATAACTTTACAAAGTTACCTATTTAAACCCTCTGCGCCTATAAACATTAACTTCTAACCAAGCAAAAATACTTAATACCCCCTTATTTTCAGATACCCAAGCTTAAAGTTTATATAATCAAACATTTGGTATTTAATATATAAAAAACAATTGTTTATATATATTTTTAACCAATCAGAATTTATTATACAAAAATTAACCAATCATATTTGATTATATAATCCAAAATTTTAGCATTTTTTTAAAAAAGTAACTGTTTAGTACTGTATTTAATTTGGTTAGTATTAACGTATTAGCTTTAAAAAATCTAATCGCGTATATCACAAATCAAATTTTTTAGAGGCGTTACTCTCATATATATGTTGTAAGTGGAAATGGAATTTAAGTAGATTTAGAATTTACTATATAGTTAAATTAGTGTTAGGGTTAGGGTGTACATATGATAAAATCAACCCCAAAAAACGAGGTTTTATATATAAATTCCACTTACAACATATATATTCAAGTTGTAATTTTGATTATCAAATCGGAGTTCTTTGCTTCGCTCTGGATTATAATTTGACTCTGAACTGTAAGAGTTTTTAAGCAGCTAGACGATTCTAATCCTTAATACTGAAACTAGAGATAAAAAATCAACTATAAAAAAAATGTGACTACGTCAAGGGTGACTAACAAGTTCTAATTATATCGATATTCTATATTCGTCTACAACATGTATATGATCGTCTAACCTTAATCTATTCTAACTTAAAATAGTTTTTAATAACGATAACGATAAGCAGTAAAAAGCACCCGCTATGTATTAGGATCAACCAAGATGATATATACGTATTTATAAATCATTTATTTAAAGTAGTACCTGTACCTGACGTAAGACAACAGTAATTTTTTTGACTAATAATATCTACAAATATAGTATAATCAGACGTTGACCCTTTCACATTTTCAAATAAAACTAACCAATTAAAATCTGTATAGTAATAATTTAAGAGTAACGGTAACTACACCATACCAGTACTAGACATAATAATATATAAGTTATATAGTATATATTTAAAATTTTGCAAATCTATTGGAGATAGGTGATATAGAACAAAGCGAAAACTGGATTAGATCAGCATAATACAGGCTATTCGTAGAATTTCAGCCCGTAAGCAAAGCAAAGCCAGCGGCTCATTGTTTATTGTAGAATTACAAAACTGAAAGTCGAAAATCACATTTCTTTGCATTTAATTTAATTTTCGACATACTAGATAAAGAAATAGTTCCGGAAAATCAAAAAACGTCCTTTCTACGTAATCGTGTATCTATTTATAGCGTTAATGTGGATTTGTGGATGTATGAGCTTACTGTGATTAGCCCCTTAACCGAATGGCGTTAATCTCAACAATATAAAGTTACATGGTGCCGAACTGAAAAATGTACAATGTGAAATTTATAATGCATACAATATCGATATTATATCGTTTCACTTTAATTTCAAACATTATCTCCTTTTTTAAATGAAGGATTGAAAAAAAAATATAAAAATAAGCCAAATTTTCTTTTTTTCATTCGATCACTCTTCACAACGTGTTTTCGTGTATAGGGATCCTACGCTTATAATTTGCTGTTCCGGTTTAAAGCGAACGGTTCGCTTCGGTCACGAGTACCCTCATAATAAAGATTTGGTTGCCGGACAGCCATCATCATACATTTAAAGGTGATTATTTACGTATTGATCTATTATTAACTTGTATAACTGTATAACATAATTTTTCGACAAAAGTAATATTTGCGTTAAAGAGTGTGCGTGCTCGTAACAAAAACCCTGTACACTTAAATTTCCTACTATCTGATCATTTCCAAACTGCACCTTTAAAATTTTGTGTGTGATATCACAAACGGATCCTTGTTTAATATCGATATGTATTAAGTCGGTTTCATCTTTCCTTACAGGGTACTGCTGCACTTTTTTATCAAGTTGCGTTTCTGGTGCCCCCTTTCAAGGGCGTTTTTGGAATATATTTCCCGTCTTTATTTCAAAGGTAATACACCACTTTTTTTTTCATTCTATCTTTTTTTCCTAAACAGACGCTCTGGTAGCTGGACTATATATGATTATATACAGAGCGACTAGTTAAATCCTTCTCTTTTTTATGTTCTTTCTCTGTTCTTTTTACTCAAAGCCATTTTAATAAGAGGTGTCTCCTCGGTTTTATTATAAACAGACCAGAGAAATAATTAGGCTCACGACCTTCCTGATTCACCTGGCACATTAAAGTGTAATCACTCTTTTTCGTAACTAATAAAGTGGAATATATTTAATAAAATAAAAGCCCATTTTTTCCTACCTTCATCCAAAAACAATATACCATTTTTGACGATTAAAAAAATATGAATGATCATTTGGTTGTAAGATCTTCTAATATCACAGCCGGTACCAGCACGGCGGATAATCCTATGTTTAAAACTGTCGGTATAATTCTTGCTTTGTCTAGTGGTAAATTAAAATTTTATTGATTCACGTGTTTCAATTTTTATTAGCCTTTCACATAGCATTTTCCTCAATATTTTAGGTGTTTTCATTGGTACTTCTTTTGTATTCAAAAAAAAAGGTCTTCTTGAAGCTCAAAGACAGGGTGGTACGTTCTTGTCCCCTTTCTCATAGTTGTTATAAAAATTATTAGTGATTGATTTTTTCCTTCGTGTTCTCTAAATTAGCAATTGCTGGTCAAGGACATGCTTATCTTTCGAATGGACTATGGTGGGTCGGAATGATATTAAGTAACTTGGTTTTCGTTATATTTTCTTATCAATTTTCGCGTTTTTTCAATTTTAATTGATCCATTTCCTTATTTAGTGATCATTGGTGAAATATGCAATTTTGTTGCTTACGCGTTTACACAAGCAATCCTCGTTACTCCTCTAGGTGCTTTAAGTGTAGTAATAAGGTATTATTATTATTTATTCATTCTACATGTGCTTGTAGATTTTATTTAACATAATTAATTCTTTTGACAGCGCTGTATTATCTTCAATATTCCTTAACGAAAAGTTAAATTATGAGGGAAAAATAGGTTGTGCTCTGTGTATTCTTGGTGCCACGATTATTGTTATACATGCTCCCAGTACGCAGGTGGCAAGTAGTATTGATGAGTTTAGGCAAGAGTTCTTTAGTCCTCGTAAGCGTTATTTAAATAAAATTGTCTTAAATTTTATTTTTAACTTACCTTTTTAATCATACATTTACATATATCTTTTTTATTCAGTTTTTTTGGGATATTCTATTACATGTATATTTCTTACAGTAATCATAATATGGAGAGTTGCTCCAAAATATGGTTCAAAAAATATGCTCGTTTACATAGGTGTTTGTTCTATGATCGGTTCTCTATCTGTTGTAACTACCCAAGGTCTTGGTACAGCTATTGTGACAACTATAATGGATCCGAGTAATAACCAATTGACTAATTGGTTCTTTTACGTTGTTGCTGCTTTTGTCGTCGTCACTTTGTTGACCGAGATAAATTACTTAAACAAGGCGTTGAACTTGTTCAATACCGCAATGGTAACACCTGTGTACTATGTACTCTTCACTGGTTTAACGATAGTAAGTTCCGCCATCCTTTCCCACGGTTTTAACGCGGCTACGGTTAGCATTGTAACCGTAGTATTGGGCTTCTTGGTAATTTGCCTTGGCATTGTATTGCTTCAAACTTCTAAAGGTGGTCCCGTAGTGGATGGTCGACAATCTATGTTTATGGTATCTAGCGATCATCCTAGTCCTCCGACTGTTATAACTAGTGGTGAAAATGAACCTGGTGCTTTGGATATTCGTGCTAGTTTTGGAAGTATTCGTAGATATTCAAGTGGGCGTACTTATCCGCTTAATAATTTGAATTCTCATTCTGGTCCTAATAATTTACAAAGACGATCTCAAAGCTTAAATTACGGATCAAGCATGACTGAAGGTTTACCATCAATACTTGAAAGATCTTCAAGCCTTTCAGATATTAAACGAGTTGAGCGTCAAGAAGTTACTTCTGTTGCTCCAATTGATGATGAGTTCTATTCGAAACGATTTAGTAATCAACCACAAGATTCTACAATACATCATCAAGAAATATTGGCAAGGAATTCCTTTGTACGATTTTTACCATCTCCTACATCACCGGTAGAGGAGCAACATACAACACCACATGGACAAAACACTACTCCTTCTATATCATCACGGAAAAATTCTTCTTCTTCACCAGAATATCCACATGCCGATGAAAGAGTTATAAACATACCACCGATTCCATCACCTCTTCACCCAATTGATTACATTCGACACCATCTTTCTCCTACCAGTTCTACGTTTGATTCATCTAATAACAATAGTATAACTAGTGAATCCTATAGTGGCATTACCCCTAGAAATTTAAATAGGAATGGTAGTGCTTCGGGTAAAAAAGCACAAAGTATGGGATTTGTAGATAAAATTAAATTAGGAATTGGTGATCAGGATGATGATACTGAGGGGTTGGTGAGTAACAACTATTCTAGTGGGGAAAATTAGATCGGTTATGTTTAATTAATTATCATGAGAATTTTTATTTTGTATAACAGTCATAATACCACTATAAGGGGAGAGCAAAAAACTAGGTTAAATAGTTCTTTTTTATTTGTACTTTTAATTAGTTTATACAGTACAGTCAGTGGTTTCTTAAAAAAAAAAAAAAAAAAAAAAAAAAAAAAAAAAAAAAAATTGATCTTTAAATATTCTTAGTGACAATTATTCATAATAATGATGGCAGTTTTACTATTTTATCAAGAAAAACGTTCTTTTGTTTCGTGCTATGTATTTATTTAGGAAGTTCTTTTGTATAAATTAAAAAGAAACGAATTGGTACTTTAGAATTAAAGATCAAATTTCGCATTATCGTGCGGGACGAAGACTTGTGCGCGTTTAAGCGCATTCTTGTTATTACATGTAACGTATTTTTTATCATAATTTTTGATTTTATCATGTCTTTTTGTATCGTTTACTAATTGTACGCGACGCGTTTTTTAAATGATGTCATCATCCTCTAGGTATGTAGAAACGTCACAGTCTACGTGATCACACGGTTTACGGACGTGTTTTGCTTTTGGATAATTGTGTGGCTGTGTTGATTATGCGGGTTATAAACTTTTTAGCCTATTACTGTAATAATATACTGTATTTTCGCAAAAGCCTCTCCCCTAGGCTTAGTATTTATTTATGACAACTTTATCTCAAGTATTTCATATTTATAGGTGAGAAAAATTTTTTCGTTTTCACTATCACTACTGCTTTACATTCATATTTTCATGTGACTTCTGACTTCTATCAGAATGTTTTAGATTAATGAAAAATTTAGGTAATGCTACATTTTTTCTTAATACACAAATTTGGAAGTTTCATTATCAGATAATAAGGGAGAAGTTAGGTGATCTTTACCGCAATTATAGCATTCATTCAAATTGGTGTTATATTAATTTCTAAGATTAGTTAGAAAATCAACATGTTAATTTAATTGTGTAATATATTTGGTTTAGTGATAGATTTTTTTTTTTTTTTATAATCCTGTATTTAAATTGTATTGTATTTTTATATATATAGTAATTTTTTCGTTAAAAAATATAATTTTCTATAAAACAATTTACCATCAGAAAACTTGCATTAAGTTTATTCAGAACAACGATTGCGTGTACGTATTGGTGTTAAAATTTTGTTATCTAGAATTTTAAACTATAACGATAACAAGTATAAATAAAATTATCATATGACGAAGCATTTTTATAAATTATATATTCTATATATGTTGTATATAAGTAGGAATGGAATTTAAGTGAATTTAGAATTTTAGGTTAGAATATCGGCTTATTAAAATTATAATTTATTAAGAAATTCCAAATCCACTTAAATTCTGTTCCCACTTACAGCATATATATATTATTAAGCACCATTCCCTCTACCCTTTTTTAAATGTCAGATTAGTTGAAATAACTTGCTAAAGGTCTCATTGCGATTTCCGCTAATCTAACATTTAAAAAAATGGAGTATGATAGTGCTTAGATTACGGTATATAGAATTTTAACCAGATATCGATATATTGATAGGTTATATTTTCATACGTGAAAATATATATATTGTTTTTATTATTAAGTTCAATTAAGAAATTCATTCTTCAAAGTGTCTACGCATAATTATATAATTCATATAATATTGTATATATGTAGTAAACGTTTCTATTAAAGACTTATATAATTAAAAAGTATATTTAAAGCTTAAAACCCAATTATATATCAATATACGTACAGTTTAAAATTTTAAATTTAAATACATATTAACATTACTTTTTGAAGTTTATAATTTGTTGCATAGTGCAATATAATGCACCCTTATAACAGCATCTTCTAAATTATTTTTTAAACAAATTTGTTTAAAAAGTTTAGGATTTTTTAAAATATATTTATAAATTTTACTATATATATTATAAAATAATTAAATTTTTAAATGATAAAATTTTTAAAAAGCAGAGCTAGCCTCTATAACTAATAAGTTTTTACAAGTAACCCTCATTAATATCAACCCATTTGGATTAGACAATTATGTTGATAGATATATAAGAGTTGATAACAAAGATGTAAAATTTATATAGTCTGATCTCAAGTTTAGATTGATATTTTATTTTTTTATTTTTTATTTTTTTTCACTTAGGCAAGATCGCGCTAGTGATCGATGTTTAATAAAGCTTCAATCTTTGTGGATGATTACAAATA